ATTTAAGGGTGGCACACGAGATCCCTTTTCCTGTAACATGTTTATATTGTACGTATATTCTTAACTATTTCAACTCTTTTGCCAGTCCAATCATTTACGTATCAACAATACCTGTCTCGACAATCGTTAATTATGTGTTTTTCAAGACGTCAGGCTGTAGATGGGATAAACAGCGAAGACGAAGAAGGAAGAGATGCCTCTACTGTCGATTTGAATACGGTGGTACAGTCAAGAACAGAACCAAATGATTCTAGTGACACACAGGAGAACTTCGAACACGAATCTATGGACACCAAGTTGTAATCCGATCAGCCATACTGCAAAGGCCCAAAGGCCTTTCCTTCCCCTCCCGACGATGCAAAAACTAGATCCGTATGTGAACCAAAGACCTTCTTAGTTGGTGGTAACATTTCAAAAATAGATGTCTTTGGCTGGAAACTCACAGTTTATTCTTGATTTCTTTTTGCTAATATACTAGTTGATTTTTTTCTTTCCTCCTCCTTCTCCGAGAGGTTTTTCTCTCGCGGGTAATCCCATTTTCCCCTCTCCTTAATAATTGCCTTTGTCAAACTGCAGTTTTTTTGGTTTGAAAACAACAGAACACGTTTGACCATTATTAAAATCCGATCAGTTTTTTTTGGTGACAATGGATCACGTGACACAATGAATTGACACAAACACTAAAAATATATTCCAGTATCTCATTTCAAAGATTTGACTTTTATTTCACCAAAGATCCATGAATCGAGCCATGAATAGAATTGTAAACCATGAAAAGAGCATCTTATGTTTTCTTTTCTTTTTTTTTTTTTGTTTTTCATTTTGGTTCTGACACTAGCAAGAACATTACCAACCGATAAAAAAACGCTGTTGGTAGTGTGTCTGAAATTAATGTATCGAAAGATTTTTTTGTTCTGACTGAAAAGCAAATAAGCGGACATCATTTCAATGATTTACATTTCATTCAAGTAAGGAATAATCCTCGCAGTTGTAAAGTCAATTTATGTAATTGCGTAAGAAGTCTGAAAAAAATTCAGGACTTCAACGAAATCCCGTTTTTTCTTTTTTTTTTTTCAGGGTTACATTGCGTTCACAACTGCAAGGAACATTTTTCCCTTGTTTTCATTTTTCTTATTTCAAATATTTGAATTTTTTTTCAATAAAGATCTATGAATCATTCCATGAATAGAATTGTAAACCATGAAAAGAGCATCTTATGTTTTGTTTTCTTTTTTTTTTTTTTGTTTTTCATTTTGGTTCTGACACTAGCAAGAACATTACCAACCGATAAAAAAACGCTGTTGGTAGTGTGTCTGAAATTAATGTATCGAAAGATTAAAAACCCCCCCCCCCCCCCCAAACAACCTGCACACACAACACAAAAAAAAAAAGAGGACTTTGGTTTTTTTTAAATACTTTTTTTTAGCAGCACTCTTTTTCCCCCCCCCCCCCCCCCCCCCCCCCCCCCCCCCTTCTTCAGTAGGTTAGGACTTGTGAATAAAATACACTTACTAGAATAATATTAGGTTTGACTGGTAATGTTATCAGCACTCTTACGTTATAAATGTCTTTTTGTCGAGCTTCATGGTCTGAAATGAAGACGTCTCGTTTTAAGTTACCAGATCGTTCTGACCTAAGTAGTTAATCAATTATTAGGCCAGGTTCAGACGCCGAACTTTTCATGATCCGAACCTAATTCGGATTAAGGCCGACCCAAACTATTTAGACCGCCTGATTCCGGTGCCCGATCTTAATTCTAGCCGAACTAAGTTCAAATGGAGAAAAATGTCATTTTTGTCAAACCGCTTACAAAATACGTTATTATAATTTATGCATTAGGTTTGGTACATGAAAAGTTCGGCGCCTGAATCAAAGCCGTTCCAAAACCGTTCCACAGTCGAAAAATTCCCGGCTGGGCTAGGCGTAAAGAACGGCTGAGTCGTAAGGGTTCCAAATTGAAATAGGCGCTCCTAATTGATTCAGACGTCGAACTTTTCATGTACTTAATTCAATGTTTTAGGTTCGGCTCGTGAAAAGATCGGCGTCTGAACCGGGCCTTAGTAATACATTACAAGCTGTTACCCCATGCAGGAAACTTAAACGACGCTCCAAAATTCTCACGTCCTGTTATTTGACTTTAGTAAGTTATTTACGTTCTACGCATTATTACTTGTTTACGTTACATCAGATCAATTTTAACTTCTAAAGGGAATAAGGAAAATTTATCAGGATTAAATCTGTTAAGGGTGATATCCCACATGTACGATCGTTACCAACGTCATATTCATGTTGAAGGCTCCTAGAAGCTTCGGCCACCTGTGACATTCGGATTGAATTCTTTAAATATGAAAACAGTCTCTTGCTTAGCATTGGTAA